ACTTGGATTAAATCTTGCATTAGAGCAAGACTTGCATCTATCACCCTAAGAAGTGGTTCAGACCTTAGTCAAGTTTTATCCTTCAATGACCTACAAAATCTCTACCCAAAGGGCTGCTACAATGCAGGTGGCGGCTCATCCCATAGTTGAAATTGTTTTCATGTTGTGGTTCATGGTTCCCATTTACTTGCTCAGGCTTATGATGTAAAGCATTTTGTGTTCTGCTCCTGCCTGTTGCAATTTGTTGTTGTGTCCTTTTTGGACCTCTCTGTACATTCTTTTCTCTTTTTATTATATACAAGCTTACCATTTAACTAAAAATAAAAAAAATAAAAAGCTGTTATTATGGACTTAATCGCATGAAATTTATTGAGATCGAATCTAACCTCTGCTGGGGAGCCATTGTAAAATGTCAACCTTAGCTACAATGTATTTTGGACCAAAGAGTATGGATATTTGCTGATTATCCAAGTTAAAAAAAAAAAAAAAAAAAGAAAAAAAAAAAAAAGAAAAAAAAAAGAGAGATATTAACAAGTAATCCACTGTAAATTTCGTAAAATAAATATTTGTAATTAAATACCCAAAACCCCCACATTAGTAACTAAATACAGGCCTAAGTAGTCCTCCTTGGCCTACCTGTTCATGAGCCACTAATGCTACACGTCTCATGCAGTCATGCCTAAACTAATTTATCACGTAAACTTCTCTAAACAGAATACAACTTTAAAATTTAAAACCAACAAAAATTAAAATTTGAGACATAAATCCCAATAAAATGCATACATTTTCATGATGCAATTATGTGTGCATAGAATTTGGGGCTGTGAGAGATTTTCTTACCGCTTGTTCGAGGGTAGCTTGTGGAGCTGTAGAATTCGGCATGAAGGCAGTGACGAAAACTGCAACAGAGATTTTCTCGGGAAATTTCTCCATGGCTAGTGAAATGCAGTAGCCACCATAACTGTGACCAACTAGGACCACCTTCTCCCCTTTAGGCAGGGAGGCCATGAAGTCCGTCAATGGTTGCACATACTTAGAAAATGAGGTGACCTCATCGAGCCCCCTCGGGTCCCTCCCGTTTGCGGAAAGGTCCAAGGCTGTGACATTGTGACCGGCGAATTTGAGAAGGTCCAAGGGTGATGAGCTTGTACCAGGACCATGCTCCAAGGTTGGAGCCATGAACTAGAACAAAGTGCTTTCTAGTACTCTCATGCCCTATCGCCCCGGCACGGCACTCTAACATGCATGTTGGGTTCAGCAAGAATACTGCAACTAGAATGATGAAGAATGGAATTGAAGGCATGATCTCAACAAAATTTGAGCTATTTTGCAACTAATTGATTTTGGTTTGCTAGAATTATGAAATTCATATCTAGCAAAGGCTAATTTATTATTATGTACATATAGGTGTCATGAATACTAAAAGTTTGTGTGTGAATACTAATGTAACAATTATGCCACCTAAAGTTTTATACGAGTACTATATAAGAATTTTTTTACAATGCTGGAAGCCTGGAAGTTATTATATATATTATATACACACACAGTGATATAATAAGATCAGCGACGGTACGTGGCCAATGAAATTAATTATATAGGCCATTATAATGTACCCAAAGTAATATAATATTAATATAAGTTCCTCCGTAATATCTTATTAAATTTTCAAAATTTCACTTTTCTTATTTTGCAAGAGTTTTGGTTGAATTGAATAATGTATCTCTGTGTTTTGGAAAGTGGCACCTAAGACAAGGACTAATTTGTGTGAGTTTTGGGTGGTTACATAAACGGAGTTGGGCGTGACGTGGGGCAATCTATTACTAGGGTTCAGAATTTCAAGTTTGAATGAACTAGTTAGCTGCAACTATATTGAACCAACATCCTAGCTTATTGATACAACTTGAGCCACAAGTTTGAGTGATCACAGATTCACAGCTATCCATTACAGAACAACATGTGCTGTTAACGGTTGGAATCAACATGTTGTGACTTAGGGGGTACAACTAGTTAGCTGCAAGTATATTGAATCAACATTCTTGTCTATACAACTTGATTCCATCGTTTAACCGAACGTATTCATATTAGTAGTACACTTAATTTCAGTACTTATATTTATTAGTGAATATATATATATCTATATATCAACTATGAAGATACTTAACGTCATCTCTCACATGTGGGGGGATCACACCTAAGAGTAATAACGATTGATCCCTGCGGTACGGTATTACAGAATACGATCATTTCAAAATTTAGCTTTTTGGTAGCTAGAATGGTTTATTGTGATCAATTGAAAAAGGTCAACCACTTCATCAAAAATTGCCGGCATCCATCATAATTCCCAATTTTTCAACCATCATTTACAATTACTTTTCTAAAAGTTGTCAATTATAAATATGATCGACAGATACCAAATACATCCAACCGAAATAGAATCTACTCATTACCTATAAAAAATTGCTACAAAAAAGAAAAAAAATCACTTACAAAAAAATTAATAATAATGATAAATCACTTACAAAATTGTGTGGAGAGTTGATGCCTGCACAATTAACCTTCAAAAAAAAATTATTCACCATAATCATTTGTTTAAATGGAAGCTTAAGACAAATAGATTTGTACTAAATACACGAACAGAGAGAAATCAATAGCTTATATGCCATCAATTATTAACTTTGAACCTTTCATAGGGTGGATTCATGCTTCTGTCACTACCCCTGCATTTTCCATCTCTTTAAATGGTGAATTAGTTGGTTTCTTCAAAGGAACAAGTGGCCGGTATAACCCACGGGGACCCACTTTCTCCATTTCTCTTTGTGTTGGTTATTGATGTGCTGTCTTCTCTCATCTTGAAGTTCACTAACGATGACCCTCTCTTCAAGTTCCACTGGAAGTGTCAAAAAAGCAGGATTACACATCGCTTTTGCTGATGAATTAATATATATATATATATTTTTTGTCATAGTGATTCCTACTCTCTTACAGTCCTAATAGACTCTTTGACCTTCTTTTCATCTCTCTACTTTGTTCCCTAACCATGCGAAGAGTCTCATCTTTACTGCTCGTATTTCTGGTGATGCTCAAATGAGGTTGGCTAGTGAATGTGGCTTTCAATTTGGGGAGCTCCCTAGCTATCATCAGATATCATGGCCTTCCTCATGTCTCAACTAGGGTCAAGGCAAAGGGAAGAGGTTCAACACAGAATCCAGTGATTGAGATTGCATCATCACTAGTGGATCTCATTTATCAATTCAATCTCAACCACTGAATACTGTGTTGGACCTCTCCTGCACTGGAGAGGATCCTTGTCCGCAAAAGACAATAATTGTAGAGTCCTGGTTGAGAAAATTACTGCTAGGATCAGTTCATGGACATCTAAGTTCCTCTATTATGCTGGCCGCCTCCAATTAATCAAATCAGTTCTTTTGGGCATCATGGGGCCGGTATTGGAGCAGCCTTTTCTTTCTTCCCAAAATATGCTTATTAATCATGTTGATGGCATTTTGAGGAGATTTTTGTATCTCAGAGCTACTGGGGCAAAGGTTTCGCGGTGGGCAGTGTGTAGGCCTAAGGATTTTGGAGGTATTGGTCTTCCAAAGCTCGCAACTCCAAACAGGATCTCAATGTTAACGCACATATGGAACCTGTTCAGTGACAAAGTCCAATCAATTTGGTATGACTATGTGAAGGACAACCTAATAAAGCACAGAAGTTTTTGGACTCTCCAACCGTCACAGTTGAAGTCTTCGAATTGGAGAATGATATCGCATATCCGCTGCTAGGCTAGGCCTTTTATCAAACATTTGGTGGGCAATACCAAAGACATTTCTATGTGGCACGACTACTGGCTGCCGTTACGACCTTTGGACACGAGGATAGACAGTGAAATCATTACTCACTCACATTGGGATGACGGGCCACACGGCCAAGGTGGAATGTCTAATCAGGCGATTCCCCGCATTTTTAGAGACATCATCAATGGAGTAGGGAATGGTGAGCAGTTACCTCCCATTAGGGAAATGTAATGATTCGGTTAACTGGATGTTATCTTTCTCCCCGGTCTGATTGACACAGTAGCTGGCTTGTTGTCATCATACAGAGAGAAGAAAAAAAATTCCATTTAGACTCGGTCCGTTTGCCTGCAAAATATATATTTTTTTTAACTTTTTAGTGTTTGAGTATCCTGAAATATTTAGGAAAAAAATATATTAAAATTTAATAAATATAACTTACTTATTAATTTTTAACAAGTAATCCTATTCGTTTGATCTTATAGACTTAATTTCAATCACTACCTAACTTCTACCCAACATAGAATAAGTAAAGATTAAAAAATATTTTACTTAAAAAAGAAAATTCTTTTTTAAATTACTTCGAAACAAACCCAACCTTAAATTTAAGAGATTGGACTTCATCAAGATACTAATTCAGTTAAACAATCATAATGTATCAATAAAAATCAATGTAACGTCAAGAGACACTCACACACCCAATCTCACAAAACATTAAATTATTTCACAATATATATATTTCTGCGATACAGGTACACTACATTTGGATATCTTTATTTGATAGCTTGTAATTATTGAAAAACAACCATTCACTCTGACCTGTTCGACTTATTTCATAACTTCATTTCCTGACCTTTTATTTAGGCTAGCTGTGCATGCGACTTAATGGTGCACAACCATTATAAGTTTTATAGCTTACCCATTCAACCAAAAATAAAAAATAAAAAAAATAAAAAAAATAAAATAAAAACCCTTATAAGTTTATAAGTCACTGCTTATGCCTCAGGTTTAATTATTAAAGAACACACACAGTAACACACATTCAATTGTATCTATCAGCAATCTGCTGCAAAGTGATGTAAAGCTCTATGGGTTTTGAAATCATGACCACATGATCAGATCCAGCTATGTACTTCACTTCATTAGGAGGGCTATTCTGAATCATGTATCTCTGGAAATCAACCGGAATGATTTGATCATCTCCACTTATTACAAAAACCCAGTGACCGACCCGAATTTGTTCTGTGTCAGCAAAGGCTTGCTCAAGTCATTCAAGTAAAACCCAGTTGGCATCACCAGCAGTTTACCTAATTCAAGGTGTACGTCCTGCATGCAAAGAAGATGCATGAATGGAGACTGCAAGAAAAACAAGAGCTAGCTGTTGTTAGGGATTTAATTATTCGCTCGAAATTGCTTGAGATGGAACCTAACCTTCGTTGGGGAGTCATTATAAAGCTTAGTTGAAGCAATTGTGGACCAAAGAGTACAGATACTGGCTGATGATTTGAATCATACACAACTATTGAATCCATGAAATTTGGTGACGCGGCCTTGAAATGTTGATCAAAATAAAAGCCATTGAAAAATAAATGTAATAAGAGAGAATAAGAACGTACGAATAGAGATTCAATAGATCAAATGGATATAAGATTTTTCATGGTTTAACAATTAATAGATATTTTCTTACTTGTTGCACACGCACGAGGGCAACTGGTGGATCTCTATAATTCGGCATTAGTGCAGTGAGATAAACTGCAACAGAGATCTTCTCCGGAAAGCGCTCCATGGCTAGAGAAATGCCAAGGCCACCGTAACTATGAGCAACTAGGACCACCTTCTCCCCAGAAGGTAGGGAGGCCATTTAGTCCGTCAATGGTTGCACATACTCGAAGAATGAGGCGACCTCATTGAGACGCTTTGGGTTCACCCCATTTGCAGCAAGGTCCAAGGCTGTGACGCGGTGACCAGCGGATTTGAGCAGGGTGACAAGCTTGTACCAGCACCATGCTCCAAGGTTAGACCCATGAACTAGAACAAAGTGCTTGCCAGTACTCCCCATTTCTTGTTCTACTCGTTGTGTGCGCTTTGTTTTTGAGGGAGCTAGATTTATATATATACTACATTTTGAGGAGAAATTATTGAACTGAACCATGTGATCTAGGACCATATCTAACAATTTATCGGTTTTGAGGGTTGAAAGGAACATGTAGAAAACGAAATTTGTGTGTGTTTCTTCAGACGTTACATAAAATAGAGGGTAGGACATTCGCCAATCTACTAGAGTCGGTTACAGAATTTCAAGTTTGAATGAATTCGAAAGTTAGGGCTTGAAAAAAAAATTGCTCAAAGTAAGTTGGAGCTGACGCTTGGCAATCTCTCTAGCTTTCAGATTTCTTTGAGCATCATGAAGAGCGCTTGACAGTAGCTAGAAGCCAGCATTTTTCTCATGAAGAAGGCATGACAAGTCCCACGCCTTAGAAGCATTTTTCAAAAACACAACGGATGTAGAGGCAGAATAGATTCTTTAATTATTACAGTAGTATAGAATAAGATAGCGCCTATAAAAAAATAAAAAAATTGGAGGAGAAAATAGGAGAGGGAGGAGTGATGGGAAAACAATGCAACGAGTGGAATCGGAAAGAAGTTTCTCATGGAATTCTTGTGAGTCAAGGGTTTGGTGAGAGTGACTTGGGAAGGAAAGTCAAATATTGATCATTGGCTGTTGTTTCATGCAGAGAGAAGAATAAGATGAAAAACGGAGCAGAATAATAATTGTTATTTTCTTGAATAATCTGATTTACAATACCATTTTGACAAATCTACTTTTTTTCTCCCAAAAACCCATTGGACTTCCCAAAATATAAACTATTTCCCAGGCAACTTTTAGACACACATCATACATTCTCACTAATTAATACAAGAAAAAATTCAAAAGACACAGTAAACATGACATTACAATTAAATTTTAACATTCCACCTTAGTGTCATGTTATGACACTCAACAATTCAAATTTATTTTTTTAAAGTGCTTTAGTGGAGATAGACTCAACTGGTTTTTCAGTCTTGCAATACTTCTTAATCTCTTTATCTTTCACGGCTTTGATAATAAGGTGATGCTTGATTGAAATGTGCCTAATGATTTGTTGTCGCATAAAATTGGAGTAGCTTCACCTTGCTTTTCACTAGGGTTGCAACTCTGGCGGGTTTGAAGTGTAACTTGAGCCCAACCCATCATATAAAATGCTAAACCCAAGCCCAACCCTAACCCTATCATCAACCTTAACTACTCAACTTGAGCCAAACACATCCTTCTGCTTGTAAATTCAGGCTTGCAACTCGAGTTTAGATTCCGGGTTAAAACTCGGGTTACTCATATGGCTAATCTTTATTCCGAAATTTAATAGATGGGTTACTCATATGGCTAATCTTTATTCCGAAATTTAATAGATCTTAAATTAGTTTTTAATTAAATTACTCTTACACAAGAAGAAGTTAAAAGGCTTTTTGTATATTTTTAATAAATTACAAACAAGTATTATATATATTGTATTTAAAAGTAAAAATATATATGAAAATAATATTAGAATTCGGGTTCGGGTTGGCTCAGGTTGCTAGCACTTCAACCCAAACCCAACCTAATTAAATTTAGGTTGAGAATTTTCAACCCAAACCCAACCCTAATTGTAAAATTAATTATCCAAACCCGTAAAAAATCGGGTAGGGCTCGGATTACCTGATGAGCACTGAAAAGTGCGTATTTAAACCCCTTAAGTTTAGACATTCTAGTACCTTTATCTTTCTTACTTTACCGTTTTAGATTGATTTCGTATTATTTCTATTTTCAGGCACTTATCCCAAAAATAAGCTAACTCAGCCAAATAAGAGCTTAATTGAAGCAATTCTGAGATTAAACAAAGAAATGAGCAAAGTGGAGGAAGAAAGAAGCAAAATGAAGCAAAGCAGCAAGTTCGATCGATCTAAGTCCAAGGTTCGATCGATCGAACATTGATCGATCTCAGCACTTCAAGATAGATCCAAGCCTTGACCCAAAAGCACTTAAGTCCAAAAGTTCGATCGATCCAACATCATTCTTTGATCGATCGAATACCTTTGTCCTTATTCAAATGATTGATCCTATCCATAGCTGTACCACCCACTAACCACCTTTGTCCTTTCTCAAAAATATCTCCCAAAATATCTCGGATTTGTTTTTTCCCAAAAAGCTCAGCCAGTTAGATCGATCAAGCCTCAGATTGATCGATCTCAGCCAGTTCGATCGATCTAAGTCCAAGGTTTGATCGATCGAACTTCCTCTAGTGCGAAAAAGTTAAAATTCCATCTCATTAAAAGTTGTCCTTTATCCGATCATTAGGGAATATTGTGTGCACGACCCCAGCTCATTTTGGGTGTCATTTTGACCTACCTATATAAGGATAAGGATTGCTTTTACAAGGGGGAGCCAATTTAATTTTGCATATCATCTCTTGGAGAGGAAGCTTGGAGGAGGAGGCTAGGGACACCATTGGAGATCTTCATCAACAAGGAGCAAACCTCTTCCATGGAGTTAGCCCTTGAGGGTTGGAGCATTCTCACCATGAGTGGCTAGACATCCTCTTGGGGCTAGAGTTAGCCCCAAGCATGCTTTCTATATCTTAATCTTGTGTATTACTGAGGGATTAGTGTTGTAATTAATGTTTTGACACTTTGATATATATAGATCTTGTTTAATCAATGATTTGTGTGATTTAATACTTCCAATTGATCATTTCATTCTATTCATATGTCTATGTATGCTAGAATAGATGTTCATGTGCTTATCTCTAGATTTTGTGTCATTGATGCATGTCTATGTGTATTGATGTTATAGATTTGGAAATTGTCAAAACATTGTGCTTAAAAGAATGCTTTTGTGATTCTCTTGATGGTTCATGCTTATCTCTTGATGGATTGTGCCTCTCCCCTAGTTTATTTTCATGCTAGTAGTGTAGATGTAGTGTAGTTGTAGTGTTGTGTTAAATAGGAGGACAATCTATACTTGTTATTTGATGATCCAAGCTTTTGAATGTAATTAGCATATGTCTCTATCCTTGTATTGTATTTGGATTGTGAGCTTAATGAAAGGATTAATGACTTGTTTTGATTTATTGTGCCTTTCACATGATGTTTAGACAATACATGCTTCATTGTTTAGATATATTGTGCCTTTCACATGATGTTTAGACAATACATGCTTAACTAGTCATCCTTACTTGTTGAATCAACCAAATACACACACACCAATATTGCAACCCACTATTTGCCCTCATTAATCACTTGTCAATGATATAGAAATGCATTGCTTGGTGGTGATCTCTAAACCCCAAGATCTCTCTCTCTCTCTTACTTACTCTTCATTGCATTCAATTACTTAGTTTAATTTAGTTGCTCTCTAATCTAATCAACCAACCAATTAATTGTTTGATCACTCGACCTACTAACCCTATTAGCGATTCCACAATCAACTCCGACTCCAATCCCTTGGGACGATCCCTACTCGCCCTAGCTATATTTATAGTGAAAGGTAGTAGTGACTTTTATAAATGTAAAACTTGGCCCTCGCCTAAATTGCACGCTTCTCTAAGCTTGTGGTCACCGCGACCTAAAAACCAAGGACCAGCAAGTTTTTGGCGCCGTTGCCGGGGATTAGGCAACGTCGTAGTTGTGGAATCGATTAGGAATTAGTACTCTTTTGATCGTGTCTTTACTTTGTTTTTATTTTTCTTTTAGTTATTTATTGTATTTGTTCATATTTGACAAGGTGTATTGAGTAAGAGGCAAGTAAAGGAGCATCCAAGCAAAGGAGCTAAGCAAAAAAAGGAAAAATGCTAAAAACTTAAAAAAATTTTGCTAAGCCAAACTTTAAATTTGGAGTTGAAGTGCTTAAGGACCTTTGTGGGACTTTCTTTACTCAATCCCTTAGTTAAATCGTTGGCCCGCGTGGAGGCTTGTGATTCAATTCTTAGATAAATTGTGAGCCCGCGTGGAGGCTATTTTATTGTTCTTTGCATCATCTTTGTTAAAGCATAGGAATATGGGTTAAGTGTTTGTGGAGGGAGTTTCATTGCATTGTTGTGAAGGTAAAGTGTGTGTCATTTTTTGTGTTTGTTGTTTTACATTGTGCATACATGGACGTCGTTCATTGAGACCAACTCTTGTCCCTCTTGATTTGCATCTTGAATCCATCATTAGAAATCCTAGGGGAAGAGGAAGTTTAAATAGAACCAATCTATCAATAGATGACCATAATGATGACCATATTGAGGACCTTGGTCACATAGACCAACAAGGTATCCTTCATCCCAATGTGCACAATGAAAACATACAAGTATCATTAGGCATGCCAAGGCCATTTATCCAACCACCACAACAACAAGGCCAAATTCCATATGGAATGCCAAGGCCAATGTATGCTCCACAACCTCCCATCATTAATCAAGGAATTCATAACCAAGGTGTTTATGTTGCACCTCAAGTAGTTAATCCACCTCTTGCTTTGAGAGATCACTATGTGCCTAATGAATACAATGCACCCACATGCATTCAATTGCCACCATTTAGAGCATATCATTATGAAATTAAAGCATAAACTATTCAAATGCTGCCTAACTTTCATGGACTTCCTAGTGAAGAACCTTACAAGCATTTGGATGACTTTCTTGAAGTATGTTCTACCGTAAAATATACGGACATGCCGGAAGAGGTCTTAAGACTCAAACTTTTTCTATTCACCTTAAAGGACAAAGCAAAATATTGGTTTAACAATCTTAGGCCTTTTTCAATCACTTCTTGGGCGGAAATGCAACAAGAGTTTTTAAAGAAGTA